GTTGGAGAAGACTCTTGAGAGTCCCTTGGACTGCAAGGAGATCCAACCAGTCCATCCTAAAGGAGATCAGTCCTGAGTGTTCATTGGAAGGACTGACGCTGAAGCTGAAACTCCAATACTTTGGCCACCTCATGCGAAGAGTTGACTCATTGGAAAAGACCCTGATGCTGGGAGGGATTGGGGGCAGGAGGAGAAGGGGACGACAGAGGATGAGATGGATGGATGGCATCACATACTTGATGGACATGAGTTTGAGTAAACTCTGGGAGTTGGTGATGGACAGGGAGGCCTGGCATGATGTGATTCATGGGGTTGCAAAGAGTCGGACATGACTGAGTGACTGAACTGAGTTGATTGCTGAAAAAACATCATAAATGAAAGTCCAATAGTTTAACACTACTTTGGCCTTTGAATGAAAAGACAAAGAGATGAAGAAACAGAGGCAAAGAAAGGGACAAATCTCTGCTTTTGAATTATCTATCTCATTCTCTCATTTGTAGATTTTAAGCAATGCACAACATATCATTCAAGGTATACCTGAATGGGGTGTGTGTGGAAGGTGGGGAATAAGAGAGAGAGAAATGTTGAAGGAAATAAGGTGCTATGGCTTGACTATTTGTGACCCCACCAACATTTTTTTTTTAAATTCCAATTCCCAGTATAATGGTAAGAAGTGGTGGAGCCTTCTCAAACTCTTCCAAAAAGGATGAAGAAACACTTCCAAAGCCATTTTATGAGGCCAAGATTATCCTGATACCAAAACCAGACAAGGACACCACAAGAAAAGAAAATACTGGCTAATATCCCAAATAAACATAAATGCAAAAATCCTCAACAAAATATTAGAAAACCAGATTCAACAATACATGAAGAGAATACTGGACAATTCACTCCATATTCTTGCCTGAGAAATCTAAGACAGAGGAGCTTAGTGAGCTATAGTCCATTGGATCACAAGGTATTAGACACAACTTAGCGACTAAACAACAATAATAACAACACCAAGATCAGAGATTTGTTCCAAGGATGCAAGGATGGTTCAACATTCACAAATTAATCAACGTGACACACCAAAGAAGATAAAGGCAAAAGTCATATCCTTTCAACAGATGAAGAACAAATATTTGAAAAAATTCAACAGCCATTTATGATATAGAAGATCTTTACAAAGTAGGTATAAAGAGATTATACCTCAACAAAATAAATATCATATGACAAACCCTTAGCAAACATCCTACTCAACTGTGAAAAGCTGAAAGCTTTTCTTCTGAGATCAAACACAAAGCAAAAATGCATCCTCTCATCACTTTTATTCAACATAGTTTTGGTAGTTCTAGTCAGAATCATCAGGCAAGCAAAAGAAAATAAGAACATCCGAATCTGAAAGGAAGAGTGAAAACTGAGACACTATTGAAAACTTTAAGACATTGTGAAAGATATTAAAGAAGGCACAAATAAATTGAAAGATATTCTGTGCTCATGGATTGGAAGACCTAATATTGTTAAAATGCTCATACTATTCAAAGAAGTATGGAGAAGGAAATGGCAACCCACTTCAGTATTCTTGCCTGAAAAATCCCATGGACAGAGGAGCCTGGTAGGCTACAGTCCATGGGGTTGCAAAGAGTCGGACATGACTGAGCAACTTCACTTTCACTTTCACATAAAGCAACCTACAGATTCACTACCGTTCTTATCCAAATTTCAATGAAAATTTTCACAAATATAGAACAAACAATTCTAAAATTTGTGTGGAACCACAGAAGACCCTGAATAGCCAAAGAAATCTTGAGAAAGAATGATAGAAGTGTCATGCTTCCTGATTTCAAACTATATTACAAAGCTATATTAATCAAACAGTATGATATTGTTATAAAAATGGACACAGAAATCACTGGAACAGAATAGTGATCCCAGAAATAAACCCAAATATATGTGGTCAATCAATTCATGACAGAAAAAAAGTAGAGAATATACCATCGGGAAAGGACTGTCTCTTCAAAAATGGTGTTGGGATCCCTCTGGGTTTTCCCAGTGCACCAGCCCTGAGCACTTGTCTCATGCATCCAACCTGGGCTGGTGATCTGTTTCACCCTTGATAATATACATGTTTCAGTGCTGTTCTCTCTAAACATCCCACCCTCCCACAGAGTCCAAAAATCTGTTCTGTACATCTGGTGGAGAGGGAGGTGGGAGAGGGGATCGGGATGGGGAATACATGTAAATCCATGGCTGATTCATGTCAATGTATGGCAAAACCACTACAATATTGTAAAGTAATTAGCCTCCAACTAATAAAAATAAATGGAAAAAAAATGGTGTTGGAAAAACTGGACAGTTACATGCAAAAGAATGAAATTGAAAAACTCTTACACCATTCACAAAAATTAACTCAAAATGGGTTAAAGTTGATCATAAGTCCTAAAACCATAAAAATCCTAGAAGAGTGGCTTCCCTTTTGGTTGTGGTAAAGAATCCACCCACCAATGCAGGAGACTCAAGTGTGATCCTTGATCCAGGAAGATCCCCCATGCTACAGAGCAACTCAGCCCATTGGCCACAACTTTTGAGCCTGTGCTTTAGAGACCAGGAAGCGCAACTGTTGTTTTTTTTTTTTAAGTTTTTTTTTCATTTATTTTTATTAGTTGGAGGCTAATTACTTTACAATATTGCAGTGGGTTTTGTCATACATTGACATGAATTAGCCATGGATTTACATGTATTCCCCATCCCGATCCCCCCTCCCACCTCCCTCTCGACCCGATCCCTTTGGCTCTTCCCAGTATACCAGGTCCGAGCACTTGTCTCATGCATCCAACCTGGGCTGGTGATCTGTTTCACCCTAGATAATATACATGTTTTGATGCTGTTCTCTTGAAACATCCCACCCTCGCCTTCTCCCACAGAGTCCAAAAGTCTGTTCTATACATCTGTGTCTCTTTTTCTGTTTTGCATAGAGGGTTATCATTACCATCTTTCAAAAATATGGAACGCTTCACGAATTTGTGTGTCATCCTTGTGCAGGGGCCATGCTAATCTTCTCTGTATCGTTTCAATTTTAGTATATGTGCTGCCGAAGCGAGCACAGAACCACAACTATTGAGCCCACATGCCACAACTACTGAAGCTCAGTGCCCTCTAGCCTGTTCTCCTCAACAAAAGAAGCCACTGCAATAAGAAGCCTGTGCAATGCAATGAAGAGTAGCCCCTGCTCACTGCAAGTAGAGAAAAGCCTGTGAAGCAACAAAGACCCAGCACAGCCAAAAATAAATGTTTTAAAAATTATTTTTTAAAAATCCTAGAAGAAAAATGAGGATGAAAAAGTCCTGATGATGAAAAAATCAATCATCATGAGTATATTTTGGGTTTGATGCCAAAAGCGAAAGCAACAAGAGCAAAAATAAGCATTGGAACTATAGAAAACTAAAAAACTTATGCACAACAAAGGGAATAGGTCAACAAAATAAAAAGGTGTATGGAGTTGGAGAAAACATTTGCAAATTACATTTCTGACAAGGGTTAATATCCAAAATACTTAAAGAATTCATACGTCTCAATAGCAAAAGCAAACCAACAAACAATCTGATTAAAAAATGGGCAGAGGACCTGAATAGACATTTTTTTTTCAAAGAAGACATAAAGCAGACCAACAGGTACGAGAAGGGGTGCACAATGTTATGTCATCAGAAAAATGCAAATCAAACTATAATGGGGTAATATCTCACATCTGTTAGTATGGCTTTTATCCAAAAGACAAGAAATAACAGGAGTCGGTGAAAAAGCAGAGAGAAGGCAAACATTGTGCACAACTGGGCGGGGAGGGGGGAAATGTAAGTTGATGCAGCCACTATGGAGAACAATATTGAGGTTTTTCAAAAATTAAACTGTCAGATGGTTCATCAGTTTCACTTCTGGGTATTTATCTGAAGGAAACAAAATACCAACTTGAAAAAATATGTGCAACCCAATGTTCATTGCAGCATTATTTACAATAGCCAAGCAATGTAAGTCTTCACTGATGGATAAATGGGTAAGGAAAATGTGATATGTATGTATGTCCAGCCAATAAAAAGAAGAAAACCCTGCCATGTGTAGAAACATGGATGAACCTTGAAGGCATTATCTAAGTGAAATACCATATGATCTAATTTATATGTGGAATCTTAAATCAAATACAAAGAAAAAAAAAAGGGTTCAGAGATGCAGAGAACAGTTTGGTAGTTTCCAGAGGTGGATTGATGTGGGCAAAACAAGTGGAGGTAGTCAAAAGGTACAAACTTGCAGTTCTAAAGTGAATTCCATGAAGATGTAATGTACAGCATGGTGACTACAATGAATTCTGTATTGTGTACTTTAAAGTTGGTAAGAAAAACTCTCCTCATAATCAAAAAATTGTAGTGATATATGGTGATGGATATTACTAGACTTATTGTGGTGATCATTTACCAATATATAAGTATTACATTTTACACCTGAAACTAATATAATGTTATGTGAATTATATCCAAATTAAAACTCTAAATAACAAGGTTGAAATGTGTATTAAATTAGCTCCATCCTAACGTCATTTTGTGGACCCAACTTAATCTCATCACTTAGATATTTTAAAATATAAAATCTCACTACTGACATCCTACAGGGTTGGGACAGACACACAGAAAGAGATAGTAAGTCACCTGCACATGAGATATAGGCTTCCTCCTTGGGAGAGCAGGAAGTGTAATTCCAAGGGTCAGAAGGACACTGCCAGAGAGAGTTATCAGTGTTCCGACACCGGATTCCATCTACCCACCGGGGTCTAGAACCTTCTCTAAGAGCAACAGAAGAGCTGAGACTTCCACTGTCCCCACAGCCAAGCTGTCTGCAGATCATGGACACGGTGATGTCTTCCATGGGGCTGCGGCAGACACTACCCCAGGTCCCATTGTAGAAAACTTCCAGCCACCCGGCACACTGCTGGTCCTCACTCACGATCCTGAGGGCCAGGAACTCTAAGATGGAAACAGAGGGAATGGAACACAGTGAGCATTGCACTCAGTGCTCTGGGTTTTCCTCTCTCCCAGAAATTGTGAACACTCACCCCGACCCAGCTGAGGAGATACCCACTAGGTGACAAGACTGAAATCTGTCTTCCTTTTACTTGACTTTGTCCATTAATGTCTGTCTTTCTATTTCTACCACAATGATGTAGTGAATACAAACAGAGAGAAAGACCAACATAGGCACCTGCAGGGAAGGGCCCTGAGCCTTGCTTCCTGATAAAACCTGTAAGAGAGCATGTGAAAGGGATGTGGGTAGTGGAGAAACAGGCAGAACAGTGAATCCCCAAATGTCTAATGTTCCAGTCTTTCAATCCTGTGAATTTTGCCTTATATTTCAAAAGGGATTTTACAGATATTATTAAGACAAGAAACTTAGGAGCTTGGGATGGTGAGACTAACCTGCAATATTATGAATTAACCATCTAAACCCAATCTAATTACCCCTAAAATTGGAATACTCTTCCTGAGTGTGTTAGAGGAAGATGAGACACTGAAGAACGGTCAGAGGGAGAGAACGTTGTCTGAAGAAGAAGATGGGCCCTAAGCCAAGGAATGAGGCCACATAGGAACCAGAAAAGACTGGGAAAGGAGTCCTCCCCAGGGCCTCCAGGAAAAACGCAGCCCTGTGGACACTGGGATGTTGGTCTAAAGAGACCCTCGTCAGACTCCTAGCGTACAGAACTAAACAGTAAATCTGTGCTTTCATTACAACATCAACAGGATCTCCAGACTGTACTACCACAGGGAACTGAAGAAAAAGCCCTGCTTTCATGTGGAAACCGCAAGAAATGGCTCTGCCAGGAAACACTGCTGAGAAGAAAGGACCAGAATCTCAGCTGCTGCAGGAGGAAGTGAAAGCACCTCGTCTTCACGTCTGCTGGAAACACAGGCTCCATGGGAGGAAGCCGCCTTCTCTGGTCTTTTCAGCATCTCTCCCTCAGGGCTCAGAACCCCGTCTTCCAGGGCCCCACTCCTCCCCCAACTGTGGACAGTGTGCAGCCCAGACCTGAGCAGACGACCCCCGCATCCTGCTTGTGTCTGCAGTCGTGCCACCCCCAGCCCCGGGAAGGGCACCTCCACACGTGGGACTCATTTCCTGTGCAGTTCAGGTCGTCCAGCCAGATGGGTCCTGATCCTGCCCCAAAGTGAGCAGACCCAGTGGCATTGAGGGCTTCTCCACAGCCCAGCTGCCTGCACACCACGTGGGCATCATCCAGGTCCCAGCCGTCATCACAGATGGTGCCCCAGGAGCCCTGGTCAAGGATCTCCACTCTCCCGGCGCAGTGACCGCCCCCGTCCACCAGGCGGAGCTGTCTGCTGTCTGAGGAGAGAGAAATCGGACAACGGGCAGTGACCTGGACGGTGACCCCAGTCGAGTGTGCGTGGTGGGGGGCGGCGGATGAGAAGTGCCTTCTGTCCTGTAGGACCCTCACCTGAGCAGTAGGGGGCGCTCTCCTCTGAAGCTGCAGAGCCTGTTGGTTCAGAGAGGGAGTCGCCGCACTGGGGCAGCACCTGGGTCTGGTTTCCTGCAGAAATAGCAATGATCAGAGGAACACGAGTTAAAGCAAACTCCGGGAGATAGTGAAGGATAGAGAAGCCTGGCGTGCTGCATTCCAGGGAATTGAAAGAATTGGACACGACTGAGCGACTGAACAGCAGCACATAATCTTTGCTGTTACATTCACTGAGACGTGAGGTCTGTGCCTCCTTCCTTTGAAGTTCTGCTGACTTTCGTGAATTCCTAGTAAGTAATGCTGCTGCTGCCAAGTCACTTCAGTTGTGTCCAACTCTGTGCGACCCCATAGACGGCAGCCCACCAGGCTCCTCAGTCCCTGGGATTCTCCAGTCAAGAATACTGGAGTAGGTTGCCGTTTCCTTCTCCAGTGCATACATGCTGCCAAGCTGCCCCAGTCATGTCCGACTCTGTAGTAACAGAAGGGAGTTAAGGTAAAGTTACTTGACTCTCAGCAGTAGGTCTGAAAACTCTTGCAACCTCCTGTGAAATCACTGAGGACTATCGCTTTAGGGCAAGTCTGCCCTGTTGAGACTCTCGTCCTATGCAGGTCTCTGGTCACTCAGTTCAGCCCAGCTGACCTTCCAGCTGCCAGGCTTGTCCTCATGAACCATCCTGGATCCCCAGCCCAGCTGTGTCCTCAGGTGATGTCAGCCCAGTATCCTGCTTGTGTCTGCAGTCGTGCCACCCCCAGCCCCGGGAAGGGCACCTCCACACGTGGGACTCATTTCCTGTGCAGTTCAGGTCGTCCAGCCAGATGGGTCCTGATCCTGCCCCAAAGTGAGCAGACCCCGTGGCATTGAGGGCTTCTCCATAGCCCAGCTGCCTGCACACCACGTGGCATCATCCAGGTCCCAGCCGTCATCACAGATGGTGCCCCAGGAGCCCTGGTCAAGGATCTCCACTCTCCCGGCGCAGGGACCGCCCCCGTCCACCAGGCGGAGCTGTCTGCTGTCTGAGGAGAGAGAAACCTCTAACCTTACCAACCTGATAAGACTCCAAGACGATACAAATCAGAGACTTCCCAAATTCCTTCCCAAACTCCAGGAAATCATGAGCAAAAGTAAAAAGGGATTATAATATGCTAAGTTTTGTGGGAAATTTGGTTATTGCAGCAGTAGTAACCAAACACTTATAATTACCATACTACTAAGTATTTACGGAAGACAAACGGAGTTTTTGTTTTCAGAAGAAAAGTATATGCATTTGTATATGCATATACTTGTATATGCATATACAAATTTCTATATGCATATATACCAAGGAATGAGGCCACATACAAATACAAATGGCCACATACAAATGAAGCCACTATACAAATAGTATAAATTTGTATATGCATATGCATAGCATCTTTATCCATAATTGCCCAAATTTTGGATGCCACCTAAAACATGTGACATTGCTTTTGGAACAAAGTAACAGGCAGGAGCTAGAAGGGGTGGAGGAGGTTAAGAGCAGAAGCCTGATAGGCTTGAGCAATGCTGTCAGTGAGGATCGAAAGGAAGTGAAGAAATAAAATTGGGGCTGAAGGAAAAATATATGGTGATATGTATGCAAAATAAAATGGTTGCTGTAAGTGACTAGATTTTGAAGTACTTTGTTGCTGGGCAACAGTAACCAGAAACACCTTTCTTCAGTCTCAGCAACTATAGAACAAAACAAGCAAAGCCAGTCACTAAATATTTAGAACATTTGAGTGGGGTGATTTAACAAACATACCTCTCAAAACTAGAGAATGCACCTTATTCCAAGCCTTTATAGGTCGTTTTTAAAGGCTGATCATATATTATACAAAAAGTGAGATCCAAAAAATTTTCAAAGGGTAAAAGAATTAAAAACATGTTTTTTTTTTTTTTTTACTAGAGTAGAAGTAAGCTGAAAACAAAAGACAAATAGTAAAATCTTCTGTTGTTTGTTTAGTAGCTAAGTTGTGTCTGACTCGTCAGTCTCCTCTATCCATGGGATTTCCCAGGCAAGAATACTGGAGTGGGCTGCCATTTCCTTCTCCAAAAACCTTCTGTAGTGAGGTATAATTTTCATGCATTAAAATACATGTATTTTGAGTATGTTTTCATAAGTTTTGGCAGTTGCATGTGCCAGCATAACCATTACCACAGTTAAAATTCAGACTAAATAGGATTATTCACAAAGTTCCTGTATGCCTCTTGCAACCAATAAAAGCCCCACAAACCCAGACCCAGGCAAATACTGATCTGTCTTTTATCATAAATAGATTAGTTATGTTTTTTGAGAATTTAACAAAATCATACAGTATGTAATCCCCTTTAGATGGTTTCTTTCACTTAGCATGCTTTGAGATTTTCTGTGTAGTTGGATTTATGAGTAACTATTTCCTTCTATTGTTAAAGTTGTACATTGTATGAATATGCCAAAGAAAGTTTTCCTTTCTTTCATTAAAGAAAGTTAGAGTGGCTTATACTTTTTTACTGTTTTAAATAAACATGTCTGACTTTTCTGCCTAAATTTTTTGTGGACATCTTTTCATCCCTCTTGGGTAACAGAAAGTTTGGGTAACACAGAGTTGCTAAGAATTGTTTTCTGTTATGTTATCATCAGCAATGTATAAAGGTTCTAGTGGATCAATAACCTTCTCTAAACTTGGAATTGTCAGTCTCCTTAATTCTAGCCAGTCTAATTAATTTGTGAATTTATATCTCATATTTTAATTTGAATTTCTTTAATAACTAATGATATTTGGTATCTTTTCATTTACTTATTGGCCATTTGTATATCATCTTTGGGAAAAGTGTCTTTCTTAATATTTTGCCGATGCTTAAACTGGGTAGTTATTTTATTTCTTTTTTTTTTTTACTTTTTATTAGTTGGAGGCTAATCACTTTACAATACCGCAGTGGGTCTTGTCATACATTGACATGAATCAGCAATGGATTTACATGTATTCCCCATCCCAATCCCCCCTCCCACCTCCCTCTCTACCCAGTCCCTCTGGGTCTTCCCAGTGCACCAGGCCCAAGCACTTATCTCATGCATCCAACCTGGGCTCGTGATCTGTTTCACCATAGATAATATACATGTTTTGATGCTGTTCTCTCAAAACGTCCCACCCTCGCCTTCTCCCACAGAGTCCAAAATTCTGTTCTGTACATCTGTGTCTCTTTTTCTGTTTTGCATATAGGGTTATCATTACCATCTTTCTAAATTCCATATATATGTGTTAGTATGCTGTAATGTTCTTTATCTTTCTGGCTTACTTCACTCTGTATAATGGGCTCCAGTTTCATCCATCTCATTAGAACTAACTCAAATGAATTCTTTTTAATGGCTGAGTAATATTCCATGGTGTATAGTTATTTTCTTTTTTTGTTGTTGTTGTTATAAATTTTTCACTTATTCTTGTTACAAGTCCTTTGTTAGAGATATGTATTGCAATTAATTTCTCCCTCTCAGTTGAATGCCTTTTCATTTTCTTAATTTTTTTTTTCAAAAAGCAAAAAGTTTTAATTTTAATGAAAATCACATCTCATTTTTTAATGGTTAATATCTTATCTGACTTAGGAAATTTTTGCCTACTCCACAATCATAGTAATTTTTCATATGCTTTCTTCTACCAGTTTTATAATTAAATTTTATATGGGAATAACCATTTATTTGAGTTACCCTGATGGATTGGGGTTTTTCTTCATGGTGAGGATGAGGGGAATGGTGCTTATGATGTGAAATAAGGATCATGGTTCATTTTTTTCCCTCATGCAGATATTCAATTAGCAAATCATTTTTTAAAGAGCATATATTTTCCCCTTTGAAATATCTCTATGGTTTTGTAGAATTTCAACACATACATGGGTTTGGGTCTGTTACTGAACTTTATCATGCTCTGTTGTTCTATTTAGCTATTCTTATTCAATGGCCATGTTGCTGTGGATATGGAGTAGGAAACTTGAAGTTAGCTTACTTCTTTTTGGCCCTTCTTTTTCAAAATTGTTTTGTCCATTCCACTTCTTTCACATTTAAATAAATATTTAGAATTTGCTTGTAAAGTTCTACAAAAATATTGCTTGGGTTTTTATTAGGATTAGATTTAGTTTGTATATTAAGTGAAGAGAATTGACAGCCTATTAAGTTTTCTAATCCATGAACATGGTATACGTCTTTATTTTTTTAGATGCTCTGTGACTTTCAATGCAAGCCCTTTAGATATTTTAAGTTTCTTCCTACATATTTAATAGTTTTTATACTATAATAAATGGAATTTCCCCCTAGATTTTGCTAATAGAAAGAAGTACCACTTATGTCTGATTTATGCTTCATTGGTCACTAGTGAAGACAGTCTGTGTACATGGATGAACTATATGTAAATCATCAATCTGCAACCCTAAGCAATGTGAAAAAGCTGGTCCTGCATCTGACCAGCAGTTTCAAATTTTAAACAGCATGCTAAATAATCATTTAGCTATCCCATTTTAAACAATATTTTTTCTGCTACTTTTATGAGTCTTTGTTTTTGAATTTTTACAATTTAACTATAATGTTTCTGAGAAAAGGTCTTTTGCATTAGGGTTTAAGGTGACCTATTAGTTTTATCAGCTTGAATTTTCAAGCCTCTCCCCAAGTTAGAAAAGTATTATTCATTTAAATACATTTTTCCCCACTTTCTCCCTCTCGTTTCCTAGACATTTTTATGTTAGTGTAGACCCATAAATCACATAGGATATAGTCTTCCTTTTTTACTCATTTTTAACCACTGATTCTATCTTTAATTTGGTCTACTCTATTGTAAATGCTCTCCGTTGCATTTTTTTCCCATTTCATTTATTAAACTCTTCAGCATCAGAATTTCTGTTTGGTTCTTTTTAGGACTTCTCTTTATTAAACTTCTCATTTTTTCATTTATTGTTGCCCGGATTTCATTGAATTGCCTTTCTGTCTTTTCTTACAGCTCATCTTACAGCTCATTCAGTTTCCTCAAAACAGCTGTGTTGGATTCTTTATAAGCTAGATTACAAAGATCCATGTCATTGACATGTGTCTTTGTCAGTTTTGAAAAGTACTGTTTCTCTTTGGTGATGACTACTTTCTTTAATTCTTCAAGTTCCTTGAAATTTTGCATTGCTGCTTTTGCTTTAGATGTATCAGACACTCCATCAAATCTTTACCGATTACCTTGAGGTGGTATATACTCTTCTCTGACCTTATATAGAATCGCTCTACATTTCTTGCTTCCTCTTATAGAAAATACCTTAAGCTTTTATGTCTTCTTTGGTCCTTAAAACTCAGCAGGTTGCTGAAAACCTCTCTTTTGTTTTGCAGAATGTTGTGCTACAGCTCAAGCCTGTGGTTACCTCCCTGCCCACAGACCCCAGTCTGTTTTTGGAGATCACTCCATTTACTGGAGTTTGCTTTCATTTCCATACTTGGAAACACATTAAAGCAGCTGTCAGAAGGGTGGCAGTAAAGATGATTTACTAAAGATTTAGTACCCTCTGGGACTTGGAGTATCTATGGGCCCAGGGAGAGAGATCTTTGGGTGACACTCTCCTAGAGGCTTATGGTTGGGCTTCCTGCTGAAGCTCTCAGTGTAGTTGCAGGAATCGCATCCCTTTTACACTCTTTGATATTCTTAATTATCTTTCATATTTCCTCTCTCCCCTCAGTCATGGAGTTCAGCCCCAGAACTCTGGGTGCTGCTGGAGAGAAAGTGGTTTCCCCAGCAATATCAAGTGGGCACTAGCTCACTGCTTTCCTTTTTGCCCATGAGAGAGACCCCACCGGCTAGTTCAAAGTTATGCTGTGTCACCTTGGGATAAGGAGCAGCACTGGCAAAATCCTTTAATCCTCTCCAATAATTCAAACTTTTTTTTGGCTCCAACAGAGCCAAATCTCCTTTCAGGAATCCTGGACCTCTAACAATCTCTATAGATATCTGACCAAATGATCACTCACCACGTTTCTCCATATTTTCCCTGACTATGA